GGCGAGGGCGAGTCCGACCTGCTGACGATCCTCTCGGACGCGTCGTCGCCCCAGTTCTGCCGCTATATCTCCGGCTCCTCGTCGACGGCCGTCCCTTCTGCCGGCACGTGCGGCTGGCTCGACGGGCGCGTGATCGACCAGGAGCAGTGCCAGGCGGAGTTCTGCGCGAGCGGCGCCGAAGGCTACCTCACGTTCATCGAGGAGCTCGTCGCCTGGATGCAGCGCAACGCGCTGCCGTTCGGTGCCGCTCTCTCGGTCATCGTCCTCGTGCAGTGCGTCGCGCTGGCAAACGCGTGGCAGCTTCGGAGGCGCTTCCAGCAGGAGGGGCGGGAGCTCCGCGCGCGGAAGCGCCGCAAGCAGCGCCGCGACGACCGCCGCCACGACGACGAGATCCGCCGCCGCCGCCGCCGCGAGGCCGAGCGCCTCCGCCGCGAGGAAGGCCGCGCCTACGAGCGCACCGCATCGCCCGTGCAGGCGGCGCCGGACTCGGACTCGACTCGGGCTCCAACTCGGACTCCGACTCGGACTCCAACTCGAACTCCGACTCGGACTCCGACTCGGACTTCGACTCGGAGCCGCGCCGCGGGAGGAGAGTACGTGTCGCCAGGAGTCGCGCGTGCACGCGAGGCCCGTGGGGACAAAGTTGCGATGGCAGTCTGAGGGGAGCGCACAAGCGGAGAGGGTGGCCAGGGCGCAGGTTCTTTGCGCTCTGGGCAAGCGCACGGCTTTCGCGTCCTTGGGCACTTTGAGTCGCCCGTCGTTACGTTGGCGCGCCCGTTACGTTGGCGCGAGAGTGCTAGCGGGGTACTTTTGTACGTTTCTTTTGTCCTTTGTAGTGCCAGTGGCCCGTACCCGGTGGCCGGTGTGTCGTGCGACTGAGTTTTGTTGTAAAATTCTTTTGCTCTCTACGTCACTGTATTAGGCATTCGTATATTTAGAGCTAGGTGTACCTCAACTAAGCTCGCGTTCTCCGACTGCGCCGATGCGTCCCCAGTGCCCAGAGACACTGCGAGTCAAACTTTCTTCTCACTGTCACTCGTCACAGACGTCACTGGACACTGCTCACTCCGCACCTACACGGTCGCTTCGCTACAGCGGTTGTCCAGAGTGCGTCAGAGCTCAGACTGCCACTGGGACTACGTGGCTGGGTCGACAGGAGTAGGAGAATTGGGGGACCACTTGACGGTCGCGGCCTTCCGACTCGCGCCTCCGCCTCACTGGCACTATTGTAGCCCTGGCCGGTGCGCGTGCGGAGTTGAAACTCCCGAGTAAAAATTCGAACGCGTTCTCTCACGGTGACCAAAAAATGTCCACCTCAGAGGCACCTCCGGAGGCAGGCCGCCGCACGCCGGCGACACAGCTCCAGCTGTCGAGCTGACCCGCAGCTCCTCTCAGAGCGGGAACTGTGACGAAAGTTGACTGAGGCGGTTGTCAGGAATCATCATACGGATCACATGGTGGCTCTCTCATGACGGGAGAGCGACCGACCACTCCTGGGTGGCACTGCCACCGGTGTCGCTCGACGTCCTGTCGACAGCGTGCCGACAGCGACACAGACCATGTGGGACGCGTCGAGTATCGACCTCTACTGCTTACCCAGCCTTCGAGTGTATCCTGGCTGTGGTCCCACACCCACTGGTGTCCATCTCAGAGACCGCAGGAGGTCATGAGGGTCGATGGGAGTGCCAACCCCACAATGCCTAAAGACCCAGCCCAGTAACCTCTTAGAGCTCTAGTCCCATGGCACCGTGGGCCAGACTGCCTTGGCGCGACGTGCGGCCTCCTTGTCCGCCTTGAGTGCCGCGTCTCGTTTGAGCTGCTGCCACCCTCCCGCACTGAGCAGTAGGTCGCGTAGCGCCGGCAGCTCGGAGTGGCGTGGCTCGTTGGTGATGGCCGTCCCCCAGATGATTGTACTCGCGCTGCGAGTCATCGGCACCCATGACCGCCCACGGCAAGGAGCCGTCGGCGCCGCCGTAGAGAGGCTTGAACGTGTCCACAAAGCTCTCGGCGTGGAGCTGCTCGACCTCCTTGATCGATCCATCGGTGAAACGGAAGGTCGAGATGCTGTGCTTCTTGAGCAGGCCACTTACTTGGTTCTTGTATGTATACGTCTCCTCAGTGGTCATTGTGTCACTCTTCGCGATGGCCACCACGAGCGGCACCAGCGTGTGCAGCCGCTGCATTAGCTCGACGTCGGCGCGCTTCATGCGGTGCGGCGGGATCACACCGGTGTGAGCTTGTTCCGGATGAGCGCAGTGGCCTCTGGGTCAGAGAGGAAGACCTTGTCAGGCAGAAGCGCCTTGCGTCGACCACCTGCACCTGTACCTGTCTTTGAGCGTGAGTCCCGCTTGTTGATGCCACGCACAGTAGAGTTGGAAGCCATGCGCAGAGCGACAGCAGGTGCCTGCGCAGCCTGGCGACGTTGCTACGAGCAAAATTGGGCTGTGGAAGAGCTGGTCGTTTTTGGGTCCACCAAATATGGATGCTATTCAAAGGCATGCCTCCTGACGGGGCGGCAGTATCATGCAGGCGTGTTGTATGTCTATAGTGACGCTACCCGGTTCAGCATGTGGAGCTCCACCCGCTCGTTTCTCAATCTTCACTCTGGTCCGGAGCGCACCCGCACAGGGCGGAAGGTGCAACGGGAGGCGCTCGATGGGGCGACACGCGGAGGTGCGAAAAGATCGGCAGTCCAAGGACTGGCCCAATCGGCTCGACTCATGGAACAGAACCAGTGCCCACCTTCAGGCGCCTCGTGCCACCGGCATGGTTTGGTGATCGGGTTGCCAGGCAGCCATGACAACGTCCTGAGCAACACGAGGAGGATGACCGTGTGGCCCTTGGCGAGGGCGTCAGGTACAGCGTAATCGCCGTGGTCCTTCGCCGCCACCCATCCGTCGCCGCTGACACGGTCCAGTTGCTCCTCCGTGTCCGGGTCACCCCGTTGGGGGTGGCCGAGGACGACGACGGAGAAAAAAAAAACTGTTCAGTTTTCAAAGGCAAAACGCCAGCCTACGCCCTCCCCTCACACTGACACTTCTCCCCTATTCCCGTCTTTAGGTTGCGCACATCTCCCAGCGAGCTAGGTTCTCCGCTTTTTCTCCCCTAGTCATCTGCCCGCGCCGCGCGCCTCTGTGGGCGTCTAGTGCAGCCACTGACAGAACTGTTCCAAAGGAGTGGTCAACGTCTCGCCTGAAGTCGGGTGGGCTCGCGCACTGCTTAGCCCTAGGGGAGGGGTGTGTGTGAGGTGTCGGAATGGTAAGGTTTCAGGCCGCCAAGGTGTGGGGGATTTGGGGGATGAGTCAGGAGCCAGCAGCCTTCCTGCTGGACCTGAGTTCACAGCTCCTCCGCCCGACGGGGTGGTCCCTTGGATTCGGGCCCCGCTCCCTTTTCCTGCGCCTGGTCTGTCCCTGTCAAGTGTGTGTTGCGAGATGCAGAGCTGGTTAGGCTGGAGCGCGGGCGGTGCGGTGGCAGGCGAGGGCAGCGCGGTAGGCGAGAGGCGGCCGCGGGGCTTCGAGTGGCGCGATAGGAGGGTAGGCTGGCTGTGGAGGGGCGCCGCGTGGCCTCGGCAAATGAGTAGTGCTTTATGAGCGGCCAGTTTTGTGCGTATTGCATATCGAGCCTGCGGTGTGGCCTAGTTGGTGCAGCGTTCGGGTCGGGGACGTTTTGGTCGTTGGTTCGAGCCCAGCTGGTGCAGTTCGTAGTCGCGTAGCGCGCGGGTGCGCGGCAGCCTCGGCAACCGAGGCGACAGTGGCGAGCAGGGGCGAGCAGGGGCGAGCAGGGGTCAGAGCAGTGCGGCGCGCCGAATTTTTTTCGATGGGCTCGGTCAGTGGGCGTGTCAGGAGGCGGCCGGCCGGGAGAAACTCGGCAGTAAAACTCCCGCGCCGGCCCAGGAGGTGGGAGTGTCACGGAGGCGGCCATTGGCGCGCGCTCCTTGTCTTCGTGGGTCCGAGTTTTTTCGGACGACGACGGAGAGGTGCTCCTCGGTGTTGCCCTTTGCGCCGGAGGGGAGGAACGGAGTGTAGCACTTGAACTCCCAGCACGTGGTCGTGGTAGGAGCCAAAGGCAAAGCGGATCAAGTCCGGGATGTGTCCTGTGAGACTATGTGTCCTGTGCGCATAGTAGTGTGTGTGTGTGTGTGTGTGCGGGTGCGGTATCATTCGCTGCCAGTCGTCCAGTCGATGATCGATCGATCGAACGCCCTCGCTATTATCGGAGATGGAGCGGAGTCGAGTAAGTACAGGAGTGCTCTCATACATACACTCGCGCGCGAACAGGGCTTAAACAACCATAAAGCGCAGTCTCCAGGGGCGCGTCCTCCAGGTCTGAGAGATTGTTTGTCAGGTCTGCAATCAGCTCGCGCAGCTCCGCCGCTTCGCCTTCGGCGCGGCTGGCGAAACCAAACGAGTGCACGATGCGAACATTTCATTTTTACCCAACTTTTTGCGGGGCCGTCGCCTCCCTAGATGCGAACGAATACGCAACTCGCAAGCAAGGAGCTGGCATCAGATACGCAAAAGAAAGAGAGAGAGAGAGAGATAACACCGAAGAGAAGGCCCGCCGCCTAAACATGGGCTGCAAGGCGCGCGGGCAACCCGGCCAACCCTTCGACCACAAGAACGGCCACGGCTACGTCAAGGCGCATCGCGGTTTCTACCACGACGCGATCTTTGTCAAGCGCAACAACTTCAACCTGCTGCTCCACGAGACGTTCGGCGGCGGCTTCTCGCCCACCGCCGTTCTCAAGCTGCGCCGCCTCGCGCGCAAAGTCACGCGCGGCAGCGTCGACCGCACGGCCTACTCGCCCAAGTACTCGCTTTCTTTTATGTCCCACCATGCAGAGCGCATCTCTCTCTCTGTTGTGCGAGGCGTGAACCGCGCCATTCGCTCTCACCTGGCAACCCTGTCTGCACGTCTCGCGCGCGCGTGAACAGGGCTCCAGCCCCCAAATGATGTGTGAGTGTTAGAGTTGTTTGGTATTGCTAATCTCTCTCGATCGAGAAACGAGACGGCGCCGGCCAAACAAAAGAAAGACGGCCTGCTAGTAAGTGTGAGCCCGACCCAGGTCGTAGTTAGTGCGCTGTGTATGTATGGATGTATGTTAACGCGCGCTTGGAAGAGAGGAATCTTATTTAGCGAGGGGTCCCGTACCACGCGGAATCGGCCCTATCCAGTGCTCAAGTGCTCAAGGTGCTCCCGCCTTCGCGCGAGGGAACGTACGCAAGTCGCCAAAAGTCAAGGAGGTCTCCGCCTGGTTTCCAACTCACGTCAACGCGCGGCAGCATGTTCGAACCGAGCATGGGGTGGGCCTCGGCAGTCGTTGCCCTCGGAGTATGCGCGCTGCATACTCGTCGAACGCGCGGAACTATCCAGCGCCTTGAACGGGAGACGGAAGAGCTCAAGGTGGAGAATGCGGCTGAGAAGGCGAGGCGGGAGGCGGCAGAGGCCAAGGCAGCGGCTGAGGGAGGGGCTGGGCGGGAAGTGGACACTCGAGCGGACACCAAGATGGCGGCCTCCTTTGTCCTCCTCCTCCTTTTCCTCCTCCTCATAATCCTTCTCCAAGTCTTGCCCATCTCCATGTCCACAGAGGCGGTGGCAGCGGCGGCGGTGGTGGTGGTTGCCGCAGAGGAGGGAGCGCGGCGGGAAGAGGGGGCCAAGGCAGCGGCCGAGGAGGTGGCGCGCCGAGAGGCGGAGGCCAAGGCAGCGGCTCAGGAGCGGGCTCGGCGGGTGGCAGAGGACAGGGCAGAGGCCGCGGAGAGGGCGCAGCGGGCGGCAGAGGCAGCGCTCGCTGCCCAGGGCGCTGAGCACGCAGCCGTGCTCGAGGCGCTCAACGGCGCGACCCGCTCCGAGGCAGTGGAAGACCTGCGCCGCTTTTGTGGCTCCTGGTCATCGACGACGCAGCAAACCAAGAAGGACAAGGAGCAGCTGATGGAGCAGCTGACGGGACGCCGCAATGGTCTGTCGGGTGACCGACCCAGCATGGAGGTTGTGAACGACGACGGCGAGAATGGCCATCTGGTGCATGAATGACACCAGTCGACCCATTGTCGAGCGTGTCTTGTCGACTGTCCTGCATGAGTGCGATCTCGGTCTCGCACCCGAAAGCATGATCCAGTTTCTGTCCTGTTAAAACGGCCATTTTCAGTGTATGTAGCTCTTTCATAGGACATAGCTCTTTACACATTTATGCCAGGCTTTTCATGCCTCGTGTCTTCACAGAACAGTAGATGTCGTAAAGCCGTAAGCTTTGCTGGTAATACAGCACAGGCCCTGCGCTGTTCTCAAACTGCGCAGCGTGATCAGGCAGCCCGGGGGGGAGCGTAGACCAGGCGCTGAAGGTGGGAGCTGCCATGCGAAGACCACTAGCACTTGGAGCACTTGGAGTGCGGTCATTTGCGGCCCGCGTTTTCTTTCTTTGGAAAATTCTTTGTGGAATGCAAATTCTTTCTCTGGTGTACCTGTGTTAGGGATCCCTAGTGCCAGTGCGCGCCAGTCGCGTGCCCAGTTTTGTGCGAGGGAGTTGCTTGTAGAATTCTTTCTCTCGCTTGGGTCGATCATCCCTGTGTGTGTGCCCCGTGTGTGCCTCTCATCGCCGTCGCGCTGCTGCCACTTGCGCGGTCTATCGCGCTCCCCGCTGCAGTCAGCCGCGCGGTTTGGGCATCGCACCACCTGTTCGAGCGGCCGCCAGGAATCCTTACTCGAGGATCTGGCGAATGTGAAGGTCCCTGCCGAAGAAGACCGTGAGATTCTGGCGTTTGCGGCGCGGCCAAAGGTGCCGCCGTGGGGCCCTGCCAGTGCTGCTCGTGCTTCACGAGTTCTGGGGACTCTCCGGCTCGATTGTGGACAAAGCACAGGGCCTCGCTGACGAGCTGGGCTGCCTGTGCATCGCGCCTGACTGCTTTCGCGGTGAGACCACCGACTTCGTGCCAAAGGCGATCTGGCTTGCGCTGTCCACACCCCAGCAGCGCGTCAACACAGACTTGGCCGCGGTGCTGCGCTGGGCCGCATCGCAGGACGGTGTAGCGGAGAATTTCCCAGTTAGGGTGCTCGGCTTCTGCTTTGGAGGTGGCAAGGCGATTGGCTTTACGACTACAATGCGCCCTGACGCGGCGACGTTCGTGTTTTATGGCGAGCCGGTACTCAAGGTCGAGGCTCTGGCCGCACTGAGCGCTCCCGTGTGCGGCATCTATGGGGCGGAGGACCCGCAGCCAACAACAAACCGAGCGGCAGCGGCGCGCTTCCAGTCGGCGCTGGCAGAGGCTGGGGTCGAGCACGATGTTACTTGCTACGAAGGCGTTGGGCATGCCTTTTGGAAGGACATGGGGCAGATAGAGCGACGAGAGACGCCACAAATCGCGGCGTGGCGGCAGAGCACCACCTTCCTGCGCACCTTCTTTGACGGGTGACCAGGAGCATGGTGGGCCGACCGGCTACCGACAGCCGGGGTCTTAGTGAGCGACTGCCGGTGCCCCCCAGAACCTTCCGAGATTTCGGTTTATTAAATACACAGGGGATAATTGTTTCTTTTATGCACGTGCCATGTGGCCCATGGGCGCGCAGGCAGGCAGGGGGGTTGTCAGGGCCAGGCCCAGGCGCAAATTCCCATGCGCAGCCCACAGGGGCCAGCGGGCCGCCACATTGCACGCAAGACGGCGAGGCGTGACCGCGTGCCATCACAGCAACAGAAGCGGCCCGCGCGCATCCTCCTGCCACGAATCTGCCGTCGCAAGTTGTGGAACAAGAAGAAGAGGTTTGCTCTCCCCTTTGCTTGAGCTCACCAGCAGCCAGGGTCGTCGATTTGGAGGCTTCTTTCGAAAAAGAAGAAAAAGAAAACGCTTTTAGCCGCGAAGAGCTCTTCCCGCCCTCCTCTCCTCGAAGGCGCGGAAATGCGCACATCCTAAACCCATTGTCTGCATCGCATTCCCACGTCACCCCTTGTGCCCGATCGTCTCACCGAGCGCTGTGCCGCCGCCTCCCGCGCCGCCAGACACGCCCAGCACAACGCGATGGCTGACTTTGACCTCGGCGGCATCTTCTTTACGGACCAGAGCGCAAACAACGGGGCCGGAGAGCGGCTCGCGGGCGAGGGCGACAGCGACTACCTGCCAGCCAAGGCGCAGCTCAAGTACCGCGAGTTCCTCCGCGACTTTCGCCGCGAGGAGGAGTACATCTACCGCTCGCTGCTCCGCTCGGCAATCGGGCTCAAGCAGGCACCCTCCCTCTCTCCTCCGCCGCCGCCTTCGTATTTGCTGCGGCGGCTACGGCCGCCTCCCTCCCGCACCGACCCCGTCCCCGGCCTTTGCTCCCTCGCCCTCGTCTGCGCCCTACCCGTCGCCCCTCTGCGCGACCGCCGGCGCCGACTCTCTCACGACAAAGCCTAGCCGCCGCCCACTCCACGCCTCGACCCCCCCTCCCCGGCCACCCGCCGTGCCTCCCGACGCCGCGCGCCTCGCCGTCGCCCCGCAGTACGTCGTCGAGGTCGACATCGACCACCTCATGATGTGGGACGCAAAGCTCGGCACCGAGCTGCTGCGCCGGCCGGGCCTGCACCTGCCGCTCTTTGAAAAGGCGCACCACCTCCGCCCCTCCGCCCGCCAGCCCCGACCCTCGCCACCCCGCCGCACCGGCGCCGGCGACGCCCCTCTCCACCCCCACCCCCACCGCCGCCATCGCCACCGCCAACGCCGACGTTGCCGCCGCCGCCGCCGCCGCCGCCGCGTCACTACGGCCATCTTCAGCGCCGCGCCGCCGCCCTGGCCACAACTGCCCCCCCCACCGCCCCCCTCCGTCGCCCTCGACGCGCTTGGGTGCCCGCAGTGGCGGCCGCAAAGAAGCTGAGCCCGGGTCCTGACTCTCACTCCAACCCCAACCCCAACCCAGGCTGCGATCGAGGCTGCCATCCTCACGTCTCTCACCGACCACGAGGCGGTCGAGACGGAGCGGCTGCAGATCCAGGTGCAGGCACTTCCGAGACACTTCCGAGGCACCCTCGCAGGCGCTTTCCGAGACGCGTTTGTAGAGCAGCGCTGTCGGCGCTCCCCCTTGTCACTTCCGAGACGCCTCCTCGGGCGCGCTGCAGTAGGGCGCCCCCGCTAATCCCTCTCCCCCCCCTCTCGCGCGCCCAGGTCACCCTCACCTCCTCCAAGCAGCCGATCACGATCCGCGAGATGCTCGCGTCGACAGTCGCGCAGGTCGTCACTATTCCGGGCATCGTCATCGCCTCGTCCAAGGTCAAGGCAAAGGGCACCGAGATCTTCGCGCAGTGCGCGAGCTGCCAAAACGTCAAGAAGCTGCCCGTGCGCGCGGGCTTCGCCGGCGCCGCGATGCCGCGTGTCTGCGACCGGCCGCGGCAGCCAAACGAGCAGCCGTGCCCGCTCGACCCGTGCGCCACCTCCTAGATGCGGCCAGCGCCAGACGCCACCAGACGTCCTCCTCCGCCACCTCCTCCGCCACCTCCGCCACCACCTCCGCCACCTCCGCCGCCGCCACCTCCGCCACCACCTCCGCCACCACCTCCGCCACCACCTCCCCTGGTTGCTCGCAGGTACGTCATCCTGCCGGAGAAGTGCAAGTACGTCGACCAGCAGACGTGGAAGCTGCAAGAGTCGCCTGAGATGGTTCCGACAGGCGAGATGCCACGCTCGGTGATGCTCACGGCCAGCCGCCCCTAGATGCGGACCACGGTGTCTCTTGTTAACCAGCTCTCGCACTCGAGTGCACACGCATTCTCAGCCGTAGTCGACCGTCCCCAGCTGCACTCATGCATTCGTGTCCCTCGCATTCGTGCGATGCTGCGAATCGGCACGAGACCGCGTCCATCCCCTCACCCTTTGCGAAGCCTCACTGCAGGTCGACCGCCGCCTGGTCGACCGCGCCAACCCGGGCGACCGCGTCACCGTCACCGGCATCATGTCGATCCTCTCCCAGCAGGGCGGCCGCTCCGAGGACAAGAAGGTTGCGATCCGCACGCCGTACCTGCAGGCGAGGCGCCTAGTCGGAGATCGCTGCCCCTCGGCTGGACTAGCGTGGCTCGTCCCCGCAGACATCGTCTGCGGGGCACAACGCAGAGCCCCCAGTCGCAAGCAGCAGCCCCAGTCGCGAACCTCAGCGCCGCCCTCCCCGCCGCCCCCCCCACCCCCCCCCACCCCCCCCACCTCAAACACCACTCAGGTGCTTGGCGTGCGGCACGGGTTTGAGGCCCGCACCGCGGACGGCGAGTCCCTCGCCGAGTTCTCGCAGCAGGAGGAGGAGGAGTTCCGCGAGCTCGCCCGCGACCCAAAGGCGAGATGCCTCCGAGATCGAGATCGCACGAGATCGCACGAGATCGCACCGCCGGGATGCCGGCCCCTCTCCCTCTTCTACCT